TAGAATTATAAATACTCTACGGGCATCCTTCGCTCCTCTGAAAATCAGTTAAAGTTATTGCATGTCGTCGCAGCTCGACATAGACAAATGTTGCTCTTGTCGTCGCAACTGAAGGAGGCATGCACCACATCCCCCACAGCCACCGCCCACAGGGGGGCCTCTCATCAACTAGCTGTCTTCATGTGCCTGTTGCCAACTTGACGAAAATTGAATTCCGAAACATGCTGGTAAAAGGAAAAATGTACAGAAAGAAACCAAAAAAAAGGAGGCAAGAACAAACAAACCAAAAACGACACAAAACTCTAGAGATGGGCGAATAGAGCGGCACTTTCAGGAGCAGCGGCGGCAGCGGCGGCAACAGGAATTCCAGGATCCAGGACAATGACAGCGCAAAGCCGGGGAATGCAACACCAACGGAAAAAAACAGCAGCGACACCAACAAAATGGCGGCTCTTAAATGTGAAAAACGCGTCGAAAACTGTTTGAACAACAAGCGTGAGCGGAGCAGCTCCTCTGCTCTGCGGAGAGGAGCTTTGAGGGGCTGAATGAGGAGCCAGTGCACGGCTACGCGTAGCGGCAGCAACATCACAGGAGTTACAACAACAACAACAACAGCAGCACTCTAGCTGCTGTGACACCATGCGTTTCCCACCGATGATTTTTCAGCCATGCAACATATTCCAACGGCGACCTTCTCGCGTCTCTCTGCATTCCAACGAATATTGTTGGAATAAAATCCTGGTGGAAGAAGCGACGTGCCAGAAGCTGCTTTGCAGCTGCCATCACTATGCGGCGGTGCGTTGGAGTTTCGCTAAGTGCCATTGCTTTGCCATCTCTGACTTTCGGGTGGGGGGAGGGGGCTCCCGCCCCATGCCGCTCCCTGTTGATGGTCCTTGTTTGCCTGTTATGTTTTTTAGCGTTACGTAAATTGCGTAAATTGTGTGCATTTTATAGCGCTACACTTCATGCTGTCACGCCTCCCCTCTTCCCTCCGCTCTCCCCTCTCCACAGGCTTTCACTCGTCACTCTCCCCCCTCCCCATAGACTGCACATATCAACTCTTTTCTCTTTCCTTTTTGGCAACATTTCTTGGGGATTGTTGCTGTTGGTGTTGTTCGAGCTGTCATCACGGAGAAAATGTCTTCGTTGCTTTTATTGGGTGTGAACTGTTGCTGTTGTTGTTGTTGGTTTCTCATTGAGCAAATGTTGGTGTAAGTATCGGTGTGGCCAAGTGGCTATGGAAGCCCTTAATGGTGAGTTTTTCGTATGAAAAATGTGTTGGTGTAGCAGAAGAAGTTTCCAATGATGGCTTTCTTAGTGTTGGTGACACTATAGCTTATGATTTGGGATATATCTAGTGGTGGTGTCTCACTGTTTTGTGTTGCTATTGTTGGTGTAGTGTTTAAAGTGTTGTGTTCTTGTTGGTGTAACAAACAATGCTGGTATTGCTGTTGTAGCTTTTGTTGGTGTAGTTGGTGTAACTATTATTTCTGTTGTTGGTGTAATTACAAGCATTATCGTTGTCAGTACTAGTTCCACAGCTGTACAAACGGAATTAACTATTGTTGGTGTAACTTTTTTAGTGTTCTTGTTGAAAACAACAGGGTTACTCGCATTAGCAGTGCTCTCAGAGTGGCTAAAACTCCTGACAAAGACACATTTAGTAAAGTAGCAGCTGTTTCTCCCCTGGTTGTTTATCGGTAAGTGCCTCCCCGTGAAGTAGGGTCCAACTAATCAAAGATAGCACAAAACAGAGCCCCCTTTCCAATGGATTTGATGTAAATTTATCGTCCCACCACGGCTAATAGGCCCGGCCCTGTCCCGTCCGCCTACCCCTAAGAGCAGAGTCTCTAATTGTTACGCCTGACAGCATCGCGTGACCAAAACCGAACGCTAAACGAAACGAGCGAGGCACAGGCCCCCAAGGGGCCCCCAAGGGGCCCCCAAGGGGCAGCCAAGAAAAGAAAACGACGCGAAAACGAAAACCAAAATTAAATCGCAGGGCGCCGGCGAAATTCCACGCGACGCGATGTGACGTTCAAGTTCATTGCCATTTAGGCCAAAAACTGGCGCACGCGGAACTTGTCTTCTGACCACAAAAAAAAGCAAGCCGAAAAACCGAAAACCAAAATAACAAAACAGAAATAATCGAAGGCAAAAGCAGAAGCACAGGAAAAACACGGCTATTTTTGGGAGCCCACGTAGCTGTGGCACAAACGGCAATTGCTGTTGTTGGGGCAATCGAGGCATTAAATGGCACACGATCGGGGGATAGGGGATGGAGGATCGGGGATAGGGGATAGGGGATGGAGGAGGGTGGCAGAACTAGTCCGTGGCCTATGCTGGGGCACGTTCCTGTCTTGATGAATGCGAAAGGCATTTAACGCAGTTTGTTGCAATTAATTTCGTGGCGTGATTTGGGGAGTGTGAAGATTTTTGGTTGCCTGCCAAATGCTGCAGAATTTTGATTTCATAAACCGCCAGCCCAGCGAGCACTGAATCCTGCACTGACACGTGTACGACAGCAGTCAATGGGGGAAAATGCACTCGAAAGTGCATTTAACATGGCCCCCACTCCGCCCCACTCCGCCCCACTCCGCCCCACGGGAGTGCCGAGCATGGGGCATGTTGCTTTTGATTTATTTGCATGACAAACGGGTTAATTACAGCATGTTGCGGCGCCACTGCAGCGGCAGCGGCAGCTAACAAAAAACAGGATTTTTTGTTTTATAGGCACACACAATTGTTGCATGCCCCCCGCTGTCCGGTGTCCACTGTCCAGTGATGCAACACCACCAACAACGCTTTGTGGGCGTTTGAGATGGCGCCAGCAGAGGCATGCGGCGTGCGGCATGAGGCATGTAAAATGGTAACGTCAATTGACAAGCTTGTCCCCGTGCCACGTTGTGGCATCATAACGATCCCCCCCTACCGCCCACACACGTATCTTTTTTTGACCAGGAGATGCAACGTCATTTATTACACACACCACCCCCACCCTCCCCTCCCCACCCCACCCCTGCTTAATCTCCCTTCCCCTCTCCATGGAGCCAAGTTCCTTTGTTATTTGATTGAGCTGGAGACCGGGACCATAATGGAATATTTATTTATTAAATGCAAGTCTCTCTCTCTCTGTCTCTGTCTCTCTTTGTCTCTCTGTCTCTTTGTCTCTGTCTGTGTGTCGATGTCTGTCCGTTGTGTAATTTATCACTGGCCCAGAGTCCAGGTCCCTGGCCGGCAGAGGGAATTTTCCGGGGGATTTAATGCACTGACAATGCCTGAGAAATGGCAAAGGAAAGAGACAGAGACAGAGAGAGAGAGAGAGTGAGGGGGGGATTAGGGATTGGAGTGTGGCAATGCATAACGCATTAACAAACGGCTTTCGGCCTTCGGCTTTGGGCTGCATATTGGCTTTTGCGATTAAAGCGCTTCGATGCGAGTGGATCGGCGTATCCTTCTGGCCCAGGCACAGGCCCAGGCCCAGGCCCAGGCCCGGCTTAAACGCATGGCCGCAAATTGTTGAATATACATTTTTATGCGGCCACAGTTTTTTAGTTGCCACATGGCCGGGCCTGCCTTTTATCGGGCATTATAATAACGAGTAAATGCCACAAATTGTTTAATGCGTTCGTCTGCGCCTCCCCCCGCCCCCCGCCCCCCGCCAGAGCCATGAACGATTTATGCAAATGCAACCAATGCACTTAGCGCCGTTAAATAAACAAAAGCATTATCAGCCAGAGCAGAGCCAGGCAGCATCCACCCAGAGGCAGGAGGCAGTGGGGCAGCAGGCCTTGGGGGGGGGGCACAAACAGAACCACTGCTGAATGCTGAATGCAGAATCGCAAGACAATGCATTAAATTCCCTCCGTTCGCAAGCACACATCAAAAATTCACTATGCAACTTATCTAAACGCACTAAATTACACATTAAGCAAGTATCTTGAATCAGAGACTCGCACACGAGCACACAGACACGCGTGCACAAGTGTGTATAGAGAGACAGAGGGGGAGGGAGGGAGGGAGGGGGGGAGAGTGCGCAAACATTGCGCAAGCAAATTGAGTTGCATGGCCATGGACTGGAGACTCGCTGGAGACCCGCTGGAGACTCGCTCGAGACTTGTCCGGGCCAGCACTCTGGAGTCCGAGGCGGGTGGGGTGGCGGGGGGGCTGCAAGATGCTTAATTTGCGTGTGAGCATACACTTTTTGCCCTCACTGTGCTTCTGTGCTGTGGCTCTCCGGGGCTGCCCTGCATCGATTATGTAAATGCAAAAATTTCCATTAAATGCATTGAATTCCATTACGAACGCATCATCATCATCATCAACAGAATCAGCAGTGGCAGTGGCATAAGGCAGGGGCAGTGGCAGTGGCAGGGGTAGGGCCAGTGGCTGTTGCCGAGTCTGGGGGCCACCATTGTCTTGCGTCTGCGAATTTATAGCTCAACAACAAGTGCCGCCGACGCAGAGGGGTGCCCAGAGGGGTCCAGGGTGCCACACAATGAAGCCATTTGCCTGTGGCATGCCTTAGCCCAAATACGTACTGTAAAACGTTTACGGCAGCGGAGGCTTGTATTTTCATTAGCCAAACACAAATTGAAGCGACACGACACTACACAAACCGAAGACCCAAAGAAAAACACTTAACATCAACACGAAAAAGGCTAAACAAGCAGCCAAGGCTGAGTCCGAGCCGAGTCCGAGCCCGGTCCGAGATCAGAGAGCGAGAAGAATCAACAACAGAGGAAAAAACTACTGTTTAAAGATGTGGCGGCCATTGGAGTCGGAGTTGGAGTCGCAGCAGCAGCTGCCGCCGAATGTGCAGCCAAATGCGTCTTTTGTTTGCCGGCTTTCACTCGAGGCCCACTGTTTGGCCATGCATTTCACACCTCAAGTGGGGAAAATACCAGTTTCCAGCCATATGCTGGGCATTGCCTATCAAATCAAACGAAAAACGAAAAACGAAAACTGGAAACCGAAAACCAAAAACTGGAAATCGAATTGAATCGTTGCTGAAATTATGCCTCGGAGGCTACTCCCTGAGGACGGGCAGAGGCCCAGCAAGAGCCTGATCCTGGTCATCTTTGCCATGGCCATTCTCATGAAGGCCGGCATCATTGTGGTGGAGCTGATGCTCTAAGCGGTGGGCCATTGATGGGATAATTACCTGCAATGAAAGGAACAAAAGGTTACTACTCCGAAGAAAGAAAACACACAGAAAAGGTGAGGGAAAGCGATGCCCGAAGTCAAGTGCAGTTGTGGGCTCGGGGGTGAGTGCATCTCGGGTTTCACGGAGCTACTTGCCCCACCCCTTCCAGCCCCGGCAAAAGGGTCTTTCATTATTAGCCCGCCCTTTGACTTTTCCCATTTTCCGGGCAGGCCAAGCCGCGAAGGCGACGAAGGCAAACCGCAAAACATAATTTCATTCTTCCCGCTGTGCAAAACAGTGAAAATAATTTGACAACTTGCTGGAAAATATGTCACATGAAGGAGGTCCCCCCCCCCCCCGCCCCGCCCGGTAAACAGGAGAAAAAAAAGGGTTTCTGCGTCGCCTTTCGGGAAAAATCAAAACGAAAATCCAGGAAAGTGAACTTTTATTAAAAGCTGTCAGCTCCACAAAACGCGGACACATGCCTGGGGGAGTGGGGGGGGAGGCAAACTGTCATCGTGGCTTCATTAGGGATTCCTGGAATGCCTCTCACTGCCGCGAGTGGCACAAGAAGTGGCACCTTGGCGTGTCCTTTGATCAAACTTTGATCCATGTGCGATGCCACAGCAATGTGCAGCTGTCTGGCTGCTCTTTGATGTGGCAGCAACACGTGCCCCCAGCGAGATATGGATATAGGCCTAATTGGAATCAATTTGGCTCTGGGGAGCGGGGGGGGCACGGTGTGGGGGGCAATCCTTTCCTTTTTGGCCATTAAAAAACAATTAACAATTTCAAGCACTCAATAAAATATTTAAACTCAAAAGGAAAGTGAATCCTTTTTCCACAGAAGGGGGACAGAGACCCCCCCCCCAAAGGCAAACCCCCGAAAGGCAAACACAGTGATAAATTACAAATGGAATTGTAAAGGGGCGCAACAGCCAAAAGGAATTAACAAGAAAGAGAGGGGGAGAGACACACAGAGAGAGAGAGAGAGAGAGAGAGAGAGAGAGAGAGAGAGAGAGAAAAGAACAATTAACGGCAACCGAAAAAAGGACACGCCTCCAGACAGACACACTCCATTAGTCCATTAGTCCCTCTGTCCGTCTGTCCTTCTGTCCTTCTGTCCATTTGTCCATGTTGACTCGATGATTACTCTCGCCTTTGATTAATTTCGCCCTCATCGATACTTTTGCGTGGCTCTGGCAACCCTTTTTTCCTGTCCTAATTTCATGGCCGCCAGTGTAATGGCTGCCAGTGTGCCCCGACTGTGTCTGTGGGGGGGGGGGGGGGGGGGGGGGGGAGGCACCTCCACCAGTGCCCCAATCAGAGCCTTTGATTAATGAAAAGCCTCTCGTTTTCCACCTTCGGATGGGAACCACAAAGTCATTTCCGCCAGTTTTCGGCCATCATTAATAACGAAAACCAATAAAAGTGTTGGCCGAGCATTTAGGCCAAAATAAGTTGTCATCATTAGTGGCAGTTACAAGTTGGCCAAGAGCAGAGCAGAACAGAGCAGAGCAGAGCAGCATACCCTATAGATATGATCCCCAAGGAACTGGAGAGGGTTCGACTGGGGAGTTCAGATCTATTCCGAGCAGTTCCTGAGATTCCAGATGGATAGAAGTGCCCTTTGATGCTTCCCGGAGGCAACTAGCGCCCGTTTCCGTGTTCCTTGGAGCCCATATACGATTCCGAATAAATCTTCTTGGAGCGGAACCAAACATGTCCACACTTCCTTCCAGGGTGGAGGACAGCCGTTAGAGGATGGAGGGAACAACAGGAAGCTGCCAAGTACAAGTCGTAACAAGAATTTCTTTCGCTTTGAAACAAATTGGCAACAATTGATGAATGTCTGGTAATGAGGCCCGAAACACGAACAAAAATTAAGGCTAAACGCAACTAAAACTCTGTCAAAAGGAAACGCAGGGAAAGGAACAGAAGAGAGAAACAGAAGCCCAAAAGCAGGCGCCAGAGGCAGGGCCTATAAATAAATAGGCACACACACAGATACTCAGATACACAGATACATTGACATGGTATTTACAGCACAGTGAAGCCATTCCATTCCGAAAGCAATCTGTGTAAAAGTAACGTAGTCATTAATCATTATCATATAAACATCAATTGGTGTTTAGAGTGTTGCACGGTCCGAGGAGGGGAAGGGGGGGAGGGGGGGCACTCTCTTGCCCCATGTTATTGATTGGCCCATTCGGTTCTGTGGCTGTGGCGTCTCAAGGAGTGCAGACAGCCAACAAAAAAGAAGAAAAAGAAAGAAAAGAGGAGAAATCGGAAAAGAAATCGAAATGAAATTTACCGTAAATAAAACCGTTTCCCAAGGAGAGCGGGGCGGAAGGAAGGAGGAGGAGGAGGAGTAGGAATGAAAAATTTAATTTATAACCGAATATATACGGAGTATTGGCCAGCAATGCCCTTCGACCAGGCCAATTCCACTTCCTTTCAAAGGGGAAGAGCAGCCAGAGAGCTTTCTTCAAAGGTTTCCTGTTTGGCTCGATTCAATGCATTAAGGCCAAATCATCTTAGCCGAAATCAAATCAGAGAGAGACAGAAAGAGAGAGAGAGGGAGAGAGAGCAAGAGTGGGACAAAACTATGTCTCGTGGAGATATAAATCAACAGAAAATAAGACAAATTCTGAGAGACTCGCAGCGATGTTCCACCTAATCAAAGACAGCCAAAGCGGCAACAGAATTACATGTAATCAATTTGTCATAAGAGCCCGCACTGGTATTAGTGTGTATCGGTGTGCAGGCAGCCAACCAGAGGAAGGATGAATGTATCTTTGGCGACAGTTAACCTTGGGGCAGCTCTTAAATGGGGCGCAAATCTTCAACACTGACAAAGGTCCTTCACACAGGCGAGATGCCTGCCGCCTGCCGCTTGCCACATTTATCATCTGCCCCTGCCCCTGCCACCATGTGTGGGCATTCCCTCATTAATATTTCATATTTATTTCAAGTTATTCCTCAGAACTCTGATAAAAGCCAGAGCTGACTTATCAGAGAACAGAATTGCCTTTATTTCCATACAGAAAAGCCAAGAATACTTATAATATTGTAATATCGGGTGTGTATTGTGTTGTTTGTGACTCGTTTTTTATCAGCAACAGCATTCCTTTGGAGAGAGAACAGCCATCAATCATTATCATTGGGAAATGGAAATGGAACTGGAAATGGAAATGGAAATGGAAATGGAGGAGGCCCTGCCTTCCACTATCCGCGCCTTCCTGCTGAGGGCTCTATCTTTTCTCTGGGTATTTCTTTGCCCCCCTTCCCCTCCCCCAGTCTCTTCTGGGTTTTCCTGTGATTATGGCCTGCTTGATAAATTGCTTTCTGTGCGGCTTAGTCCATCGTTTAGTCCCCATATTTTATTTGGCTTATTAATTTTTCTTCTTTTTCTGTCGCGAACAGCAGCCCCCTCGAGAAATTTCCATTACTTCTCCCCTCTCCCTCGCACTTGAAGCATTTTCAATTTGTTTAATGCAATTGGGGGAAGTTTCCATCTGAAAAAGCGCGTCAATTGATGCACTTAGGCGCTAAGATCTCTCGTCGCACAAAAGGTTCACGGCCAGACGAGTGCACACTGAACGAGGGGGGGGTGGGGGGGGACAGACAGCGGGGTGTGTAAATTGATTTCATTTTTGGGCTTGCCACCACATCCCACAGATACAGAGATACAGCGTGAAATATAACTCAAAAAGCGACACGAATTTTGGGGAGGATTCAACGCTGGGAAAGACCGAGGCCCATCCCCAGCCCCAGCCCCAGCCCCAGCCCCAGCCCAACCCAAGGTCTGTGGGGGGAGCCATCAAGGGGTGCCACTGTTCCGGCACTCACTCTGAATTTTGGTTGCATTCCGATCGCCGGAGCCCTGCCGGTTCCCATGGCGGCCGCTGAGAATCCAAATCCAAATCCATTCTCTTGTGATGTTATATGAGCCGAAAACTGTTTGAATGGATGATTAACATACATGAATGGGATGTGTGCTCCTCTCGGAAGGGTACGCGTTGTTTGTTTTTCGCTTGCCCTCAAAACTTTGATACGGAGCAGATGACACACGCAGTCGGGGAGGGGTGGGGAAGGGGAGGGGAAGGGGGGCAAAGGGTGCGCTGCCCCTCTCTGATTCATCGCTCGGCCAGCCGCCTGTGGGCTTTATCTTTGCCTTGCAACAGGAAATGCTGCTGCTGCTTCTGCTGCTGCCCCCGAAACGATTTAGCACTCAATGCGAATGCTTCGGCACGCCCATATCATCATCATCCTCCTCCTCCTCCCCCTCTGGGCCTAGCAATTGTTTCGGAAAAATATTGAGAAATAAGGGAAAACAATTCACCGCCATATGCGGCAGGGGCACGGGCAGTGGCACGGGCAGGGGCAGAGATATGTGGGTCTCTTAAGGTTCCAGTTGCGAGCCTCTTGATCCCTTTTATGGGCAATGTGTCGGCGACCGAAAATTGCTTTTGTATTTACAAACAGAACAACAAAATTTGTTCCTTATCATCGCCTGCTGTCGCCTCCCTATGGCCGGGAGGGGGGCGGCGGGCAGGGCATGCCCCCGAAGATATTGGCGCCATTTGGTCTTATCACTTATCAGACATCATGCAGACGACAGCAGGCCCTGTGGGCCCTCCGTCGAAGGAGTCCAAGGTCGGGTCGGGTCGTCCCTCCCGCCCTCCCCTCCCTCCTTAAACTGTGAGCTTAGCTGAAAGTAATTTATGTTCGGGCCAAAGCAGGGCCTTTAATTAGCCCATTGTTGGGCATCTGACAAATTTTAGTTGCCCGCCAAGGGGCATGGGCCTCGACGGCGGACAACTGTCAACTGTTTTCATATTGAGGCGGCCTCTGCCACTGCCACAAATCACTGGCAACCACCCACCCACACGCACCCACACGCACACATGTCGCATCCCTTCTTGTTTTCCCACATTTGACATACATTTTTCGCCAGAAAACATTTTAAGGGTGGCAGGAGGAGGAGGAGGAGGAGGGAGACGGGACTAGGCCAAAGGACACCAGACTGCCAGCCGACAACAATGGCGGTCGTCTAGCCTGGCTGTCATCCCACGC